TTAGAATTATATCGATGAAACTTTATGAAAATTTGTTTATTTTATTATTACAATAAACAAAAAATCATCATTGTCTGAATTCAATAATAATACTGGTAGGGTATGGCATCGTGCTGAAACTTCCTGTACCGTAACGAAATGTTCGAGGAATATTAAATGTTTTCAAATAGATTATAATAAATTCTGTCAAATCGTCTAATATTTAAAAGAATTATAGAAACTGCATAACAAAATTAAAATTATTCACTTAAAGTGTATATAAGAAAACTTTAGAACTTTAACCAGAATTAAAATTGAAATCTGAAATATTTTCGATCCACAAAATAAAAATTGAAAAAAAAATTAAAATATTTTTTTCCCCAAAAGCAATTGTTTCGTCAACACAAGCATAAAATTTTTAGAATCATTCAAATTGGATGTTTATATCTCTCAAAAACTGCCATTTTTTTGTACATTTAGCTCTGTATCTTTGAAAGGGCTAGGCCTGCCTTTGCCAAAAACTAATGACCACTTTGCCTAATAATTACAAATTTAATGTTTTTAGATTATTCAAATCGCATGCTCCGTTCTCTCAAAAACTCGATTTCTATTTTCTGCGCTGTTTGCTTCGTATCTCCGAAACGGCTGGACCCGCCTTTGCCAAAAACTAATCAGCACATTTCCCAATCAATAGGAATCGAATGTTTTTTTAACCATTCAAATTGGTTGATCCGTGCGCCCGAAAACGTGAACGAAAAAATGCGGATACAAAACACACACACACACATTCATTTTTTCTGAGGTATGCCAAAATGTTCAGAAACCCTCAAAACGTGGAGAAATGCGAAAATTTTCATTTTCGATTTTCGGTCCATTACTATAACTACTCCACGGGAAGTTAATACATTTTTAAATATAGGTGAACAAGAATTGTCGGTAGGTTTATTGTTACTTGATTCGTAATGAAACTTTGCTATGAAAATTATTTTTTTCTTTCGTCTGTTTTATTAAAAATGCATGTTGTTTCGCTACAACACTTAACAACTCATATTATTACATTTTCTATGTAATTGAATGTGTCTGATATTTCCAGGGTCGTCCTCTGCCTCACAACGTCGGCCAAGGTGTTATAATAAGTAACCTGTCACTGGTGCTGCAGGGCGTCAGTCGCACGACAGCCGGAAACTACACTTGCGTCGGATTCAACGCCGAAGGGGACGCGCCCAGCAAACCGTTCCAGCTGAACGTTCTATGTTAGTACTATTATATGCACACTTGTCATATGCAAAACTATTCCATCTATTCCATCACTAGACCTACATGCTCTATAATATTCAATATATAATATATAGAGATTTACTATTATGACGTGCAGAGATTTTATACGGAGTAGTGGGTATGGGTAAAATCGTGCTTACTAATAATGGTATTTATAAAAATTATGCGTCATTTATATGGTCTTTTGGCAAACATGCTATATACTAATTTTCAACATACATATAATATTATTATTAAGGTCTTGTAAACTAAACAACAGTGCTCACAACCAAAAACACCAACAACGAAAGAAAATTCTTTTGTTAGGGATTTTTGAACATTTCCATTTATCTCATCGTAAGAATCATCGTGATGGCTAGTTATACATATTTTGCCCTCTACTTCCAAATATTGTTAAAAAATCCTAACTTTACCTGTTTTTAAGATATCGGTGGTGGACCTTTTTACCCACAGACTTTTAAGCGCCGCTCTACACTATTACAAATAATATTACAAATTTCACCACATATTTATCATTTTCTCATACATACAATATATATTTTCGAAAAGGATTGAATTAATTACAAATATAACAAAATTTTGACTCCCAGAAGAGCAAAAAAATTTTCTTTTCTAATTTATAAATATATATTCCTTACTGAATTTAGTGGCGTTAGACGTAATAACTAGTTGTAATAAATTAAAATAATATTACCTTAATTAATAATCAACATAATCCAAAATAATTGAGATTCTACTATTTAAGTAAATGTTAATCTGTTTACTTCAAAAATAAAATTTTTGCTTTCGCTTAAAAATAATCAAGAAGATGTCTTTGGAACATACTTACCATATATTTAATTGTGAAAACCAAATTAATATATGTTCTTGAAAATAATGTTTAATTCGTCGAAAATGTATATGTATTCATTCTGTAATTTAAAGCATACGGGCAAGTACGGACAAAATGGTATGGTGTTTTGTTTTGGAAGTAAAACTTCTTAGGCGCGACTAGGGTGTAAATCCGTACAAATGCAACGGAAGTGCGTTACGGCAGATAAGATAAGGTAAGAGTCGAGTGCCAATGATTCGCCATTCGCTCTCGATGATATCATTTCTATACGGGTCTATTGCGATTAGTCGTCGCGTATGTGAAGAGAGGTCTGTCGTTGTATGCGTACCGGCTTCAACGTTGTATGCGTACCGATATCAACAAATAAATCGGCATAGACAAGTAAACATTTTAAAGTTATATCGTAGTGCAAATCTTGATTTAATGAAAAATGCCTGAATCAGAAGAATATTTTACCCTGTCCCCAATAAAGAATTATAATAAAAATAATAAAACAAATGCAGCATTTGCGCCGTGTATGAAACATGACTTTATTGAAATAGTTTCTATAAATCTTTGAGGTCATTTAAATGGAAAATATTTTTTAGGCAAAACAGATATTACAGCTGTTCAAAGAATGAGATTATATCGCCAGCGAAAAAGTAAAAAAAATTCATCAGTCAATGAATGTATGTTAATTTTAATTACATGAAGTTTTTCAATCACAATTATTACATGATGAGTTAAGTTGCGAAAACAATATTTGTTTAGGCGTTGTTTAACATAATCCACTGTTTGAACGAATATTATAGAAGTTATTAATCAGCAATTGCTTTATTTCTCTTATGAAGGTTTATTTCTAAATGCTAATTACAATGACAAACCGATCATGTCATATTTGAAGTATGAATTTAATTACATTATTTTTTTTAAATATTATACATATTTTTAATGCTATTATAAATATATAATTTATAATTTATCACTATATAAATGGTTGACACTTGTAAATATATGCATCACGGGTGTTACCATATTACTAATAAACATTATTCAAAATTTTTATATGATGTACTTATTTTAACTTAAATGCCATCTTGTACTGTAGCAAATAAGGTTTACTTCAATCGCGTGTGAACTTAAGCGCACTATTTTTATGATATTTAGTTGTTCAATGATGTTATAATCAGTCTCAATCTTTTTTACTCATTTTGGCATATTGACTACCAGCAAGATAGTATTTTATCTAAGTAGTCACAAATTATTTGCTTGGTCTTCATTCGGACTATAATAGCATAGTTATTAAGAAAAAATGCAGCTAATATTAAAAATCTCGTTGTCTATATAGTACGAACCAAGTGACATCAAAGGCAAGGATCTACTGAAATACTAATGTTTAGGAAGGCAGTCACAAATTAATTGTTTGGTCCTCTTTTGGATATCAGCACATATTGCTCAAAGGAAACAAATCATACATCGTAGCATTCAGAACAAAACTTCACCAGGTTCAAAACGGTAAAAGAGGGTTTTGCAATATATGCAAGCTTCTTCTTTTTATCTTTGGATTTTTCGGTCTGTTAATTAGAGTAAGAGTTAAACGTACAAACAAGTCCCGGGATTAATGGTTCGATCACAACCTCGGCCAAGCCCGACCAAAAACCTTGAGAATCTTGAGATTATAGAGCTCAAATATAATCTCAAATAAAAATCGTCTTCCATTGACATAGTTGCTTATAATAATATCTGGTAGAAAAATACTCTTTAGTGTAGTCATATATGTCAGTAATAGGATAAGACAATTACTGGCTTTCCATCCAAATAAGCCATATAATAAAAAATTACAAAATAATTTTGTGAATGTTTAAATTTGTATATTGTAACTAAGATGTAACAAAATGTAAAATTATAAATTCTGTCTTCTTAAATAAATTTATAAAATGATATTTTAATTTTTAGTCGCGCCAACCTGCAGACCAAACCAGCCACGTGTTCATGGAGTAGCAAAGCAGGAGCGCGCACGTGTCAGATGTTCTGTGGAAGCAAATCCACCACAAGTAACTTTTCGATGGACATTCAATAATTCGGCTGAAAGCATTGAAGTTGCAGCTGCTCACGTGGCCAGGGCCAGAAGTGAAGACACGTAAGTTTTTAAATAAAACGGAAATATGATTAATGGTTGGTTACACAGTCGTATCAACATCAAGGTCACAAATTGATATAGAGCAATTTAGTGAACGAATAATCCTTTTACCCACCAGTCACCAATACTTACAATTATATATTTGATATATATTAAATATATGTAAAAATTTTATGTGAATAATTCTCAAAAATATTTGTTTATCTAATTATAGTACCGGCGCTCTGGACAATATGAATGGGGCCACTTTTGTCAGCAGTGTGGTGACCTACACTCCAGTAACCGAACTAGATTATGGTACACTACTCTGTTGGGCTACAAATAGCATTGGCAGCCAAAGAGTTCCCTGTGTTTATCACATCATTGCAGCTGGTATGTAATTAATGAGATTCATTAAAGGACCCGATACAAATTATAAACATTTTGTAATTAAAATAATTTGTAAAATTTTAAACAAATTTTTGTTAACTTTGGCGCGATTTTTTTGTACAATATTTTTTACTAAGCACAAAAATGAATGATAAATTTAAAATAACAACAAGGATTAAATTTTATTTTCGGATTATATAACTACGAACAGATTTATGTCTACTAAATAAACGTTAGCAATATATATGTTTTTCTTTTAATTTACAGGTCGTCCTGATCAAGTCCACAATTGTACTGTAACAAACGTGTCTTTGACATCTCTAACTGTTCGTTGTTCTGCTGGATTTGATGGAGGTCTTCCTCAGTCTTTTCTATTAGAAGCAAGAGATTCGGGAACTTTAACGACAAGGGCAAATCTCACTTCTCCAGTGCCCAGGTAAAACAATCTAGATAACTTATCAAACTATTTGAATAGATAAGTAAATAATTTTAAGAGAATTTTTGCACTTAAATTTATACATTCAATATAGGATGATGGGTATTATTTTCTATATATACCCGAAACTAAAAATATTACTGTAATTAATTATGTTATGTTATTTTATTTATTGTGCAATTTTATTGTGATAATCACATCATTATCATAGTTTAATTATCGATCATGTAATTTATGGGTAATTATATCGATACAAATTATCATTGAATTAAAAATATTTTTAAAAATCTACATTATACCATAATCAATTATACTATAGATTATAGATTTTCTAAATTGGATTTTAATTTCTAATATTGTATTTTTAATCTACTTCGTCATTGCTTTATTAAGTTCCCGAAGGAGAAGTTTATGTTTTCATCAAAAAATCCGATTCGCTAATTTTATGTTTTAAGCCCTTCTGAATCGGATGAGACGAATTTTGCAAAAAGTATGTGTGTGTGTATGTGTATGTGAACAGATTTTTTGCCGTAAATCGACGTTTTCTCAAAAACGGCTTTCTCAAAAATTTAAAAGCCATTCGATGTAACTCGATTAGGACTATCGTTTTGCCCGCAATTCTGAATCGATTATGAAAATTCAAAAATCGTTCGAAAGATATTGGTTGGGAATGGTGCTGATTAGTTTTTTTGTTAAAAAAAAATTTTTCGACGATTTTTATTATTATTTTTTTGACGATAGATACCATAGTCTTCTAGATCATACTAAAATATTACGGCACTACGACAAATCGTTTTACTTTAAAAATTCGTCAAAGTTTGCAAAAATTTGGTTTTCTTTTTTTCGCATTTGTCAAAATTAGGCCTTTAATCGACGTTTTCTTAAAAACGTCTGAACCGATTTAAGAAATTTAAAAGCCATTTGATGTATCTCGATAAGGACCATCGTTTGTCAGTTTTGTGCGACGATCTGCCGAGCTGTTTCTTTGTAATTTGAGTGAAGTGTTAAACTTTTCGTCCACATTTAAGCTCATACTACCGAATCGATTTTGAAAAATCAAAAACTGTTCGAAAGATATTAGTTGGGAATGATACTGATAAGTTTTAGGTGAAAATCTGCCGAGCCGTTTTCTTGTAATCAACTGTTTTTTTGGCGATATACATCATGGTTCACAGTACTTACTGAAGTATTACGGCCTTACGACAAGTAGTTTAATTTTAAAAATTCATCAAAATTTGAGAAAACGAGTAGTATTTTGACGTTTAGAAAAATTAAAATTCGACGATTTACGATAGAGTACTTGGTCTTAATGAACATACTAAACCATTAAAGTCATACCGAAACTGGTTTAATTATAAAAGTTATTGATTTGTGAAAATTTGCTTTTAGAAAATACTCGGAGTTCACCTGTTCGTTCGGTTTGAAATATCACTCATAAATTAATGTATTTTGTTGATTAAGTCGATTATTCTAACATATCGGGAAGTTCATGTAACTTGCCTCAAGACAAAATACCAATACCAACTAGTTTAAATTAAATTTGATTAAAAATTCTATAATTATTTTTAGATTCGCAGTTGCTGGTCTAAATCCTGGTGGAAGGTATTTAATTGGAGTATATGCTTTCAACGCCAAAGGTCGCGGAGAACCTGTAGTATTACAAGCTGCAACCCTCAGACTGCCAGAGAAGCAATTGACTTCAGAAAAAGGTTTTTATTTCAATCAATTGAATTTTTAATTAAAATTGTGTAATTGACCAAAATGGTCAAAAAAAATCACCAAAATTTTTAATTAAAATTGTGTAATATTTTACCTGTTAATATCTAATTAATTTAATCTTGAATTTTATTTCAATTATGATAATCTCGAACTTTTACTATTTCTCGTAAAAAATCAAGCAACGATCTTTAACTCGTTATTTCAAACATTACCAAGTAGTAATTTATAGATATTGAATTCACTATTACTGAGTAAATTATTGATGGTAATATCAAAAACTATAATAAATATTTAATTATTTTAGAACCGCGTAGAAATATATTCTTCCGGATGACTCCAGCTTTATCGTTAACAATTGGAGCTATTCTTGCAATAATAACAGTAGCTCTTTTAGTAGCAGCTATGCTGAGACTTCAAAGGTTTGTTTATTTAAATTATTAATCATTTTGCAAACTTTACCAATTAATTTTAATTTATCGATTACCTTTTATTCATTAAACCATTGAGAGTAATCATGTTTAATATTACGATAAGATGGGTATATTATTAGTAGTATTGTATTATTAGTAGCGATCCTCATTATTTCAAAATGCTTAAAGTATTTTTTATTGTCGACTTAATTTAATTACTTGCATTTTAAATATTTCTTTGTATCGCTTATAGAAGTCACCTTTTGACTTTTATAAATGAGCAAACTCATTTCAATATCGCAACGATTTTTAATTCTTTAAAAAAAAGTAACGAAAATTTTTCAATTTGATTTTGTTAAATTGGTTTTACAGTTTTCAAATATTAACTTTTTTAGAGCAGAATTAAAATAGTCAAAATTTTAATTAAGGGGTTTCAATTCTCCGATAAAATAGAAACGATATGTTACCATGTCCTATCTTTGTATGAATTGGCAGTAAAAATCAAGCCAGAAAACTATGCATTTGCTGTGCAATCAGACGTTAATCACATAAAACCCATTTGAATACAAATTCATACAAAGATAGGATTGTACATTTCTATTTATCGTAGAATTGCTCCCTGGATTAGAAGTTACGTAGTTGATTTCATGTATTATGTTTAACAAAATTTAAGGAAAATTAATTTCTATAATTTAAATACGGTTTTAGACATGTTTAATATTTTCCCGCTTCATAATTTGTTTTCTATCTCATTTCGTTATTGAACTACTTCAGGCGTTGTCGTGGTGGTGTTACTGGAGGTATTGACGGAGCAGCCCCAAAACATGGTGAGCCAGCATCTCCTGGGCCAAGTGACAAAAGTGACACCATGACTAGTGGTGGTGGTGTTCATGCCGCCCTTTTAATGACCGCCACTGGAGGCAAAGATGCGAATGGTGGTGGAGCAGGCGTTGCTTGTCCAGATGACGGTTTGGCGGGCGGTGGTGACGAACGGGGTCCTGATGTTGTGGCGGATGCTGAAGCCGACGAGCAGGTAATAATGAGTAATATTGTAAGATTTATATTTTTAAATTCATGATATTTACTCTTTTTACTGTATTGGTTGTAATGTGTAGTTTCTGTATACTTATTAACTTATATATCTATTCACCCTATAGGCAGAGTTTCTGCGTCGCCAACCCACTGTTGCAACGATAGCTGCTCCAAGAGGCGGCTCGCCAGTTATTAGTCAATGTTGTAGAATCGGAGGCATGAATATGAATATTCCTCCGAGTCCTTTGCAAAGGATACCGCCAGGAGAACAGCATATGATTCTTAATAATCAAACGGTTAGTAAAAAACACTTAAATCATTGTTTTCTACATTAATAAGAAAAGCTCAAATTTTTTCCTATTTGACTTTAAGCAATTATATTGTGGAAACCAAACCAATTATCTCATAATCAACACCTATCACACTATGTTCAACAAAATTTCCAGCTAATTATTATTGCAGGAATATGTTTTTTGGTATTTTGGTGAAATTGATCATGTTTCTTTTTTTTTGTGGTCTAATTATGTTTTTGTGATATCATTTATATATCAAACTAGCTGTAAGTGGAATTCTGTCTTAAGGCAATTAGGGCATCGCGCCTTAAGGCAAATTGCTGGAACTTCCCGTACCAAAAATTATTATTTTTTTTTAAAACGATTAACATTTTTGAAAAAAAAATTACTTCGAAAAAATAAGATTTTTGAGAAACTATAAATTTGACATAAAATTACTTTTTTTTGAAAAAAAAATTGAAAAAAAAGATTTAATTTTTTTTTTTTTTTAATCTTTTTTTTTGAAAAAAAAATGTTTTCTCTATTTTGACATATGTTGGAAGATCTGAACTTTTTTTCGAAGCAATCGTACTGCTTTAAATGCATAGAGACAAAATATAAAGCGCGTAAGCGCCGCGTCGCTGTCTAGCGGGTAAACATTGGTACGGAACCCATAGGAATGTAAACAAAATTTATACTTATTGTTAAAATCTCTATAAAATATCTGATAATTTGATGTACATATATCTAATGATAATTTTTGTCCGCCAAATGGCATTTTTTTTTACTTTTTTCGTTATATCTCCGAAACCGCTAAACCTGCCCTTATAAAAATTTGATCAAGTCTTCATCTTGTCAATACAAGTAAAATGTTTTTTGAATTATTAAAATCGGACGCTTCGTTCTATTAAAAACTGAGGTACCGTTTTTGGCACTTTTTGCCCCATATCTTCGGAACGGCTAGACCTACCTCTGCCAAAAAATAATCAGCACGTCTCCTTATCAATACGGATCGAATGTTTTTTAAATTATTTCTTCATCCGTGTTCCCGAAATCGTCGACGAAAATTTGTTTCCGCACACACATACATACTACGCACACACACACACACACATACATCCTTCAGAAACGTCTGAAACGTAAAGATATATAAAAATTTTCATTTTCGATTTTTTGCGATTACTATAACTTACCCTACGGGAAGTTAATAATTTACGTTTAAACATGTGTATTATACTTATAATTAAGAAAATGCATACATCTCTTTATCAGATTTTTTTGTATATTAGTAAGATATACCTGTGTAGAAACTCAATATCGGTACATAAATGAAAATTATCTCGTATGTAAACCATTTACAACTTGCAACAAGTTCTACACCTTTGCTACCCACTAGCGCCTCTAGCGGCGCAATGCGCAATTATTCCAATGACCCTGAAATATTGTGAACTATCTATTTCCTTATCTATATATATATATATCGCATAATCTAAATTCACGAATAATTTAAATACATGTTGTTAAACTTAAAAAACAAAAATCTTTATTGACTCTTATTTTTGTTGAATTTTTTAAATCAGCCTCATTGTTTCTTGAAATACAAATGAAATATTACAAATAAGATGAATACAGTTATGATCGAAATACATATTGTATGGGCATATTTTTAGAAAAATTACAATGCATACAATCTTCGTATGGAACTCTGACAAAAAAAAATAATCATCGGAGTTGGAATAACTACTTAATTAATTAATTTTATTTCTTGAAAAATTGATGTATTTGTAACATATTTCACTTTATTACTATTCTCTTATTGTTTACTATTCTTACGTTGTTTGTGGTTCTTTTTACCCCAACCACGTGTAAGCTATTATGGAGGTCATATAAAAAAACTGTTGAATCTAACTGAAAAATATTAATACATCTTATAAAACAATTAAATAGCGTACACCTAAAAATTATATTCAGGTATCGTAAACTAAACTAGTTGGTTTGGTATTTAGCCTTGAGGCAAGTTACATAAACTTCCCGATATGTTTAAATAATCGACCTAATCAATAATTAACAAATTAATTTATGAGTGATTAGAAGTATTCCGAGAGGATTACTCCGTTAACTCGGAGTATTTTCAAAAAGCAACTATTCAAAAATCAACAATTAATATATTTTGAACCAATTTCCGTAGGATTTTAATAGTTTAGTATGTTTATTAAGACCAAGTACTATATTGTTATACCAAGTTATACAAGTAAAAATAAACGTCAAAAAAACTACTCATTTTCTCAAATTTTGATGAATTTTAAAAATTAAACTACTTGTTGTAAGGCCGTAATATTTTAGTAAGTTCTGTAAGACTATGATACATATCGCTAAAAAAAATCCATAAAAATCGGCTTAAATTTTTTTTTCAACAGTTAGTTACAAGAAAACGGCTCGGTAGATTTTCACCTAAAACTAATCAGTGTCATTCCCAACTAATATCTTTCGAACAGTTTTTGATTTTTTAAAATCGGTTCGGTAGGATGAGCTTAAATGTGGACGAAAGGTTTAACACTTTTTTCCAAATTACAAAGAAACGGCTTGGCAGATCGTCGCACAAAACTGACAAACGATAGTCCTCATCGAAATACATCAAATGGCTTTTAAATTTCTGAAATCGGTTCAGGCGTTTTTGAGAAATCGTCAATGAAAGGTCTAATTTTGACAAATGCCAAAAAAACGATACCAATTTTTGCAATTTGACGAATTTTCAAAGTTAAACCAATTATCGTAGGGCCGTAATATTTTAGTATGATCTAGAAGACTATAGTATCTACCGTCAAAAAAATAATAATGAAAATCGTCATCAAAAATTTTTTTAACACTTTATTACAAGAAAACGGCCAGGCCGATCTCTACCAACAACTCATCAGCACGATTCCCAATCAATATCTTTCGAACGGTTTTTGTATTTTCAAGATCGATTCAGAACTGCGGGCTAAAACGTGGACGAAAAATTTTTTACTTTTCTGCTATTTACAAAGAAACGGCTTTGCTGATCGTCGCGCAAAATTGATAAACGCTAGTCCTCATCGAGATACATGAGGACTAGTGTTTATCAACTTTGCGCGACGATCAGCAAAGCCGTTTCTTTGTAAATAGTAGAAAAGTGAAAAATTTTTGCGATTGGTAGAGATCGGCCGGGCCGTTTTCTTGTAATAAAGTGTTAAAAAAATTTTTGTCGACGATTTTCATTATTATTTTTTTGATAGTCTTCTAGATCATACTAAAATATTACGGCCGTACGATAATTGGTTTAACTTTGAAAATTCGTCAAAGTTTGCAAAAATTGGTATCGTTTTTTTTGGCATTTGTCAAAATTAGAAATCAGTCCAGCCATTTTTGAGAAAACGTCCATTTAAAAATACTTTTGTTAAAAAAATTGATAATGTGGCCTTTTATCTTATGATTGCGATGTCGTCCTAATTGAAGCGATAGCTGTTTCACGCCATCTACTTTAAAATAGTATCTTGTTTTTTAAACGATGATGATAGTGTAATATATACAAAATAGTCAAAATATCTTACTTTAATCGTTTTTGAAATGATGATGGTGAACTTTTTTACCCACGGACCTTTAAGCCTAGCTCTACCCTATGCATGCTGGTATATTATACAACTATGTTGTGAAATAAATTTATTTTATTTGATATTTTTACTTTCAGTTGTACCCAGCGCGCGCCATCCCCCGGCACATGTGGCCGAGCTACGGCGGCGGCGTAGCGGGTGTGACCAACATGTACCACGGACCGCCGCCTTCCCATGTGAATGCGGTCACCAGTATACCAATGCGACCTCTGCCTAGAAATTCAGTATGTATTTTTATTTTAAATTATAGTTTTTTTAAGTAAAACTTCTTTAGGCGCGACTAGGATGTAAATCCGTACAAATGCAACGGAAGTGCGTTACGTCCGAGTCGAGTGCCAATGCAAAAATTCGTCATTCGCTCTCGATGATATCATTTCTATACGGGTCTTTCATTTTAAATAGGGGATTTTTATTAATTGTAAGATATAGATAAACAATTATCATATAAATATATATCACGAAACAAAATCTGTTTCCAGAAAAATTTATGAACAATGCAAATAGTTTAAATTTTGTGTACTAATTTGAGACAAATTAATCAAAAACTTAATAAACATATATCACGTAAAATATAAAATTTTGATCATGTCTTAAGGCAATTTGCTGGAACTTCCCGTACCAATTTTTTTTTAAATCTCCAAATTTTTCTTTGGAAAAAATTGATTTTTGGGAATCTTGAAATTCTTGAAAAAATTACTTTTTTGAATTTACTTTTTGAATTTCTAAATATTTTGGAAATTTTGAACATATTTTTCAAAACAATCGCGCTGCTTTAGCTGCTTAGAGACGAAATATGGAAGCGCGTTAAGCGCCGTGTCGCAGTCAAACATGAATAATGTTACGGAACCCATAGAAATTTTGATAAAATTTATACTTATTATTAACCCCCCATATGGGAGTTATAGTAATGGGCCGAAAACAACATTTGGCATGCCTCAGAAAAAATGGATGTGTGTGTGTGTGTGTTTTGTATATCCGTATTTTTTTCGTCCACGTTTTCGGGCGCACGAATCAACCGATTTGTATGGTTCAAAAAACATTCGATTCCTATTGATAGGGAGATGTGCTGATTATATTTTGGCAAAGACAGGTCCAGCCGTTACGGAGATACTGAGCAAAGAGTGCAGAAAATAGAAATCGACTTTTGGGAAAACGGAGCATCCGATTTGAATTATCTAAAAACATTCAATTACTAACGATTAGGAGAAGAGGTGATTAATTTTTAGCAAATGCAGGTCCAGCCATTTCGAAGATACAGAGAACAGTTTTTGAGAGAATTAAGCGTCCGAATTATTCAAAGAACTTTCTGCTTGTTTCAATAAAATAATTGCTTTTTGAAAAAAATCTGTTTCTAATTTTTTTTTCAAAAAAAAGATTTTTTTTTCGAAAAAAAATTTTTTTTTGTGTATCGAAAATAATTCAGATTTTAATTTTAATTCTGTTCTAATATATTTTGAACAAATAATTTCAACTTTGCAATTCAGTTTATATAATTCTTATAAATATTAAACAATGTTACAATATTTATAAAAATCTATTTGAAAACATTTAATATTTCTCGATCATTTCATTACGATACGGGAAGTTCCAGCAATTTCCTTAAGGCACGATGCCATACACAACTAGCTTGTACTTTTTCTACTCAATTTCCGAAACCGCTAGACCTGCTTCCCAAAAATTTAATCAGTTCTTCATTTTGTCAATACAAGTGAAATGTTTTCTGAATTATTGAAATCGTACACTCCGTTCTCTTAAAAACGGAATTACCATTTTTGGCACTTTTTTCCTCGTATCGTCAAAACGGCTAGGCCTGCTTACGCCAAAAACTAATCAGCACGCCTCCTTATCAATAAGAAACGCATCTTTTTTAAATCATTCAAATTGGTTGGACCATGTTCCCGAAATCGAACGAACGAACATTTGTATCTAACACACACACACACTTACACCTATTTTTTGTAATGTATGAGTGTCTCTGAAACGTAGAGATACAGAAAAAAATATTTTCGATTTTTTGCGGTTACTATAACTTTCCCTACAGGAAGTTAATGAGTTCTAAACAATTTTGATTTCCATGAATACATAATTTTCAGATTATGAGCATATTTAAAAAGAGATGATTTTCATTATATTGTTGGTCATTATTTTTTCACAAAATAGAATTATAACTCTGATGAATGATGTAAACAAATTATGTGAACATTGTCTAAGAATTGATATATTTTTTTATTTTTTAAAAATTCAAAACATGTTTTCAAAAGAAGGAGGTCCCAATAATTTGTCTCAAGGCACAATGTCATTCAAGTTTATATATGTTCTGATTTTTGATAATACTCTATAATATTATTAATAATATGTTATAATCTTTCAGATTTCGAGGCCAATGACGAGCCTGACGGAAGAAGACAATTCGTCCGATCTGTCTAACATAGTCAAAAGAGAATCAACGGTCTGACTGTAGGTTTCCGGCTAACGGCCTTTTCTCCAAATTTATAAAAGGAGAATAATTTTAATTAAATATAAGATTCTACACATTACAAGTAAGTTGTATTAAAAATTTACAATAACTCATTTTATTAACAGATCTGATATATTTTAATTTATGTAATATATATTGAACTGCCAATTGCATTAAACAATTATAAGAGTTGAATGAGAACGAATATTTCTGCTAAAATATATCGTCTATCAAAATTTCTGAAGTTCAGTGCATCTGGCTTGAAAAGTGATAAAATAAGTTATAATAGATAATATTTAATTATTTTAGAAGTGGTTTAAATGTGATAAATATTAAAAGTAATATGTATACAATCAGTTTATTAATCATATAATGTATATTTGCGTACTTTTGAATGCAATATTGCATTAAGTAACCAAGTAAGTTTTCTCCTTCGAAATGTGTTTATATAAAAATTTGGGTATGTAAAACATGTATGATTAAAAAATGAATGATCATCTAACATTAATATATTATTAATTATTTGGATCGATGATTAATTGATGATAGATTTTATTTATACATGCGTTTGTTAGCTTGGAATGATCAATTTGACAATTTAAGTCGATCTTAAATATCAAAGAAATTTCTGGTTTGTGATAAGATGGATTATGAAATTTGAAAAACATGCATTTAGACCAAAATTGACCACTGTCTTGGTAACGCCTTGTTACGCTGCATTTTTCATATGAGGCGGTACTGAAAACTATCAAAAAATTATGTATTTGCTGTGCGATCAGGCATTTTACACATAAAATTTAACTTCTCGCATTTGTTATTATGACACATCACAAAGGTGCAGTTATGAGAACATTTTACATTTGAAACGCTTAACTGCACAGCAAATACACAGCATATTGATAGTTTTTAGTACCATTTTATATGCAAATTCAGGATAACATAGTTTTACCATAACATTGGTTTCTTTTACAGCAGAATTGGCCCATAAATATTAATATTTATGCTCACTATATTTGGATAAACAAAAAAATGAATGCCAAGAAATTTTCATCACCAGGGTGTTACTTTCACAATCGAATTTAATTTTACATGAACTTGATATTATAAATAATTAATAATAGTTATTATTTATTTAAGCTACTTAATAACAATTTAAAGGACGGCCACTTTATCGCATTTATTTTATATTTTGTAACAAATGTATGAAATCAACCAAATTATAGTCAAATTAGTATAGGGATAATTTGTTCTAACATTGATTGAAATTCGAACAAGTTGCAAGTTTAAAACATATTTGACTTCCTTAATTTTAACTAGGGGAAGAGAAGTTTAATGTTTTCAGAATAGCTAATGTTTCAAGTATGTTTATTGTACAAAAAAAGTACTAGTTGGAAATATACGGACAAAATGGCATATATCGAGAAAATGACATATATGGAGAAAATGGCTTATGTGAAAAAGTAGCATATATGGATATAATAAAATTATAATTATACATATATAAATAAACTAGCAAATCCGACGAACTCCGTTTCGCCCCAGATGGTTTCGTGAGAAAGATGAAGAAATTTTTTGTTTGTTTTATATTTGAAAAGGAAAAATTTGATTTTATTACACAACAGTGATGAATTTATTTCGATTACAAAAATGAAGTGTTTTTTAGTTGAACTTCTCTAAGTAAATGAAAGTGAATCCGCAAATTATCCGTTTCATTGAAGTGCTCTTTGGTTAACCACATTTTTTGTTTTTTGGTCTTACGTTAACACAGACAAAGCGGAAGGTTTCCTAACTGCCCATATGAAAAACAATGATTTTCTAAATAATCTATTTGACATTTATCCCGCAAACACTAAGCGATTGGCCTTGCGACTTGTTATTGCGAACGCAAGGCGAACTGGAAATTTCAATCGTTTGAAGTCAAATGGAAGGCCAGTCAGAATCATTGGTATGTCACCAAATCGCCAGCAATTTTCGATTGAATGTTGAAATTCAGTGCGTGTACATCATTATTCTTTGCGGCAAGAATTGCTCGTTGACTTAACCAAGCATAATTCTGATAATTCTCACTAATGTCATTACTCGAGTTTTTAATTACGGTGGGTGAAGTTCCAGCAGTTTGCATTAGTGAGAATTATCAGAACAAGCTAATTATTAAGCATTAGGGCACGATGTCATGCACCACCAATTAGCTATAAACCTTGTGGAGCCCGAGACATTTCCAACGAATGCAAAATTGTCGAAATCGGTTCGTGCGTTCTGGGTTATTTCGTCAGGAAGGAAAACCCGACTTATTTATATATATATATATATATATATATATATATATATATATAGAAGATATGATTAAAAAACAAACTCCATGTCATTTTGTCCGTATTTACCCTGTAAAAATAACAGTTTGAGATATTGAGAATGAGAATTACACAATACTGAGAAAAAAATGATTTCTTTACGGTATTTGTTTATCTACTGTGACAATTATTATTTTGATTATTATTTTTAAAAAATTTATGAAGAGACACTCTTACAAGAAGAGATAATTCATAAATTCCTAATATTTTTTTCAATTGGACAAGTTTCACTTGTTTCCTGCTCATAAAGGTTTCTTTTCTAATTAAATAAGTGAGAGCCAAATATTTTACATAGATATCTATATTTACAACTGATATAATTTTACTAATATCGCTAAATAATTGCGTTTAGTTTTTTGGTTATTCAGGGTCGATTATATACCATATAAAAATTACTGCATCAAATTTCTATTATTTTTTATCCAATTTATCACAAAACAGATTTAACTATTTTCTTTTTGTATACTAATATTTTGAAACCAATACAAAATTAAAATAAAATTTTTAAATAATGTTCACTTATAATATTAAACATATTTGTATATATTCGAAAATATTAATGGTTATTATTGTACATATGAAAAGAATATATTTAAGATTATAATATAAAATATATTATGTAACGTAAATATTTATTTTGTAAAAACTAAGTACTAAGAATAAATTATTTAATTTAATAAGATGAATTTATCATAAATTTTGAAATTGTTAATTCGTTAAAAATTAAGGCATATGTATTTATATTCGTAAATAAATTTTGTGACGATTGCATTTATAATACAAAAATCTTTAGGAGAAAAGTTGATTTCAAACATAAAATTATTATAATTTTTAGAGAAAAATCACTCGAAAACAGTAAAAGATAAATAAGTGTAGGATTTTAAAAAATTAGTGTAGGATATCGTAAATCTGAGCAAAAATAATATCACTGTTCAAATATTTTGCAGTTTTCAATATAATTTTTTACCTATTATTAGAGTGAATTGTACTAACGACTTTTTTGGAAATATTAATAAATAATGATGTTTCAATATTTATCTCAATTAACACAAAATGTCTTTATTGTAAAGAGCAATCTTCACAGAATTTATTTATATCATGTAATATTTGATATTGACGATGGTTTAAACATTTTCCTAAAGTCTGCACTTTATGTAAATAATAATGCTAATAAACTTTCTCACTTGTAAATAATTAAGAACATTTATATATATATATATATATATATATATATAAATGGGTGTGTGTGGATCTATACGTATATGTGTATGTATATATAAACATAATAGAAAAATTCATATCACTCGTTTTTGAATTAGATAAAGTTTTAGAAAGTACACCTCTAGCTAATAAGGCGATATTGTTTTGCTTATAGTAAAAATATAAGAATATGATATTTAAGTAAATACTCAATGACGCTATATATATAACAATTTCGTAAATGAATTTTATCATGGATGTAAATAGTTTTTTGTATCCACCTTATGTGTCATTGATTTTAAAGATAATATACAACATTGTTTAACAACTCAAATGTTTTATTCCGATTTTTATTTATTACTTTTATTTTTCGATAAAAAATCGTTTAAAAAATAAACATAAATTATATTTTGCAATACGATAAATACTTTTGATTAAAATTCACTTTTATTAACTTCCCGAAGGAGAAGTTTGTTTTCATCAAAAAATCCGATTCTCTAATTTTATGTTTTCTCGACGTTTCAAGCCATTCTGAATCGAATGAGACCAAATTTGGAAAAAGTATGTGTGTGTATGTGTGTGTGTGTGCGTGTGTGCGTGTGTGTGAACTGATTTTTTGCCGTAAATTGACTTTTTCTCAAAACTGGCTGGACCGATTTCAAAAAGTCATTCGATGTATCGCGATGAGGACTAGCGTTTGTCAATTTTGCGCGACGATCAGCCAAGCCGTTTCTTTGTATTTCGTTGAAAAGCGAAAATTTGTTTGTTCACGTTTTAGCCCGCAGTTCTAAATCGATTTTGAAAATTCAAAAACCGTTCGAAAGATATTGGTTGGGATTCGTGCTGATGAGTTTTTGGTAGAATACGACAACTCGTTTAGCTTTAAAAATTCGTCAAAGTTTGCAAAAATTAGTATCGTTTTTTGTCATTTGTCAAAATTAGACCTTTCATCGATGATTGCTCAAAAAACGCCTGAACCGATTTCAGAAATTTAAAAACTATTAGATGTGTCTCAATGAGGTCTGTCGCTTGTCCGTTTTGTGCGACGATCGGCCGAGCCGTTTCTTTGAAATTTAGAAAAAAGTGTAAAACTTTTCGTCCACATTTAAGATATTAGTTGGGAATGATACTGATTAGTTTTCAGTGAAAATTTACCAAGCCGTTTTCTTCTAATTAACTGTTGAAAAAAAATAAAGCCGATTTTTATGGAACTTTTTTGGGCGATATATACCATGGTCTTATAGAACTTACTAAATTATTACGGCCTTACGACAAGTAGTTTAATTTTAAAAATTCATCAAAGTTTGAGAAAATGAGTAATTTTTTTGACGTTTGCTAACATTAAAATTAGACGATTCACTTCGTATATCGATAGAGTATTGGTCTTAACAAACGTAATAAATCATTAAAGTCCTACGGAATCAATTAAAAAATTATTGATTTTTGAAAATTTGCTTTTAGAAAATACT